TCCCTAAGCAGCAGTTATTGGCTGCTTTCAGAAATAGGGTATGTGCTACTTAGACCACTAAACTATCACAGAGTCAGTTTCGGATAAATAACTTTTTTTTTTTTCCCTCCCCATCCCCCTGCCCTCCCAGATATTCATTGAAAGAACTAGTAATAACAAACACTTGAACACTATCAATATTCGACACATTGCTAATTCTATTCGAACTCATGGAACAGGAATAATGAACACAACAGTGAGTATATATTCTGCACTGTGCGGTTTTTTTGGTTTTGTTTCTTTAATACTACCTTTTACAAAATACTACCTGCACAAAACCCTCCAGATTCTTGCATTTCCTTGTGCTTTGACTGTGCAATTTTAGTAATGCAGTAATGATGGTTTTTTATGTATTAACGAAACAAACCAGTTTTTAGGAATCGTGCGGCCCATATCAGCAAATCTCTTGAGAGTTATGCCACTACTAGTTGTTACATAAAAGCTAGTGAAGAGATCTAAAAACGCACCTATAAAAGATAGGGATGTCCTGGTGGGCCTCTGGATTCAATAAAGATGAAAGTAATATTTATCAAAAGTGTAGTACAACAAGTCTTGGGAAGAAATGCAAAGTTACTTATTACAAGACCAACTTAAATTAAACTTAAGAAACACCAGCTTCTGAACTTGTGGAATGGAAGCTGCTGATCTGTGATAATTTATTTAAGGACTTAGTCTTCTTACTAGAATGCTTGTAATGTTGTCTGTGGTGCAGATGGTGGTCTTAACCAGCAGAAGGCATTTATCTCTCTGCCTGGTAAATAAGAGTGCTTCCTGTAGCTTATTTATTACGGCAGTAATTTGTCGTTGTTCTCATATTTGGATACAGTGCTGAAGTTCAACTTAGTGTTTTTTCAGGTGCTTTCAAATCTGCTATTCATCTTTTCTACCTCTTTGCTGCTTTCTTTGTCCCACTCTGCTGGCCCCAGTCAACAAAAAGAGAAAACTTGCTGATGTTGCGCTGACTCTCAGGTCATTACTTTGAAAGTGGAAATGTTTAGAAACAAAGGGTTTTCATGCCTCTTCGCGCTGTGGGAAATAACTTGCCTTACACTGTTACTCTGAGAGTGATTTTTTTTTAAGTGTTTTTTTTTTTTGATACTAGAATGGTTAGTCTTGGTTACTTCAGTTACTGAAAAAGTTGTTCCGCTTGTGACATTACTTCCTAGTGAAGTAGACGCTATTGCTTTCTTCACTTCTGACTGAATGAAGTTGTTCAGGCAGACATGAAAATTAAGTGCAATGTGTAGGAGAAAAATAGGCTTTGGTCTTATGGGAAAGTATTTCTAAAAATTTTGAGGAAGTGAAAAGGTGTGTCAAGAGGCTATGCAGACTCCACAGTTTGACTGAGAAAGTTGAGCTTGTTTGCCCTTTTCAACTTGAAATGTTTGTGTTGTTTCAAAGGGACAGTCACAGGATATTTCAGACACAAACTGATAGCAGTGTGGGGCAGGTTGCAGAACTGAAATGGCCAACTTATGCCATGACCTTTTTGCCCTTCCTGAGAGAGAGTAAACCTTCCAGGAGAAGATCTTTCTTTTTTTCCTTTCTTTTTTTCCTTTCTTTTTTTCCTTTCTTTTTTTCCTTTCTTTTTTTCCTTTCTTTTTTTCCTTTCTTTTTTTCCTTTCTTTTTTTCCTTTCTTTTTTTCCTTTCTTTTTTTCTCATTAGTGAAATTGAAAAGATCAAAGTTGAGAATAACAAATTCAAAATAAACTGTAGCAAAGCTTCCGTTTTTTGAAAATTACGTTATCATACATGTAAGTTATTCAGGAAGTTACTAGACAGGAATTGCTGGAGTTGCGTGCTACTTTGTCAACTTTGTCAACTTGACTTTAATTTTATATTTTAGGTTAACTTCACTTACCAGTTTTTGAGGAAAAAATTTTATATTTTTAGCCAATTCATGTATGATGAGCATATCAAATCCAGACTTATCAAAGACATCAGATTCTTCAGGGAAGTCAAGGATCAAAATGATCACAAGGTATAGTAAATTCTGAAGGACTGAAAATAACTTGGCTAAAATATTTGCTGTTTTCATGTAAGCGAAGCTGAAGGTACACCAAACCATAAAATGTCACAACTTTCCTTTTATTTCAATGTGTATTTCCAGACAGTGTGGCAGCTTTTTTTCTTGCAAAATGTAGTGTTACAAATTCCTGTTTTCAGAATGGCTTTGTTTCATTCTGGCTGTTCTGAATATTTTCTTTGACAGTAATGGGATTGGATAAAATCATTCTGTCAGTAACCTGAAAAAGGTGATTTGATGCAATTATGGTCTAGTGTAGGTCCTAAACTTCTGGTCCAAATTATGCTGAACAGTTATCTGTTTTGAATAGTAAGATGTTTCGGGTAGAATCCAAAATAGATGTGAACATGTAGCATTTATTCCACTATGTCAAGATTTGGGGATTTGGGTCTAATTTCTTATAGTGGAAAATTGATTTTCCAAAAATGAGACATAATATTATATTTCAGTAAAAATATGCTAGCAGCTTCTTTGTATGTCAGGGGCTTATTTCTGTAAGAATACCTTCTTGTTCAGACAAAAATAATGCTTCCATTTCACTTTGCAGCTTACACAAGTGATTTAGTCAAACGACACTTTCAAACTAATACAGGCAGGTGTATACTTAAAACGAAGCTGTAGTTCTGAGGTAGGGATACATTGCAAATAGAATTGTATTGATGTGAAATGTTTATGTACATATATATTTAAGGATAAGTGATTATTCATACGAATTATTCTAAAATAATTTCTCTAGTATCCCTTTGAAAGAGCAGATAAATTCAATCGAGGCATCAGAAAACTTGGAATAACCCCGGATGGCCAAAGTTACCTTGACCAATTCAGACAACTCATAAGTCAAATCGGTATGAAATACTATCTAAGATAATGTTGTAAGTGTTTATTGGAAGAGTCTTCATAGTCTACTAACTGCACTTTAGCTCAGGCTAAAAGTAGTTATATGGCAGGTACTTCACTTGTACCTCATGTGAAGTAAATACTCTCATCTAAATAATACAGAAGTGGGCTTTGCATGTCTTAACCTAAAATGCGTCTGCAGCTTGCATATGTGTTTACTTTTAGGTTCTCTTCTTACTTTATGGAAGTGACTTTCATCCAGATTGAGTATGTTTTCCAGTAAATAAACAGTACTTGTAAGTTCAGCTCTTTCAAAAAATGCTGCATATCCAGCTGCAGTTACTTCATGTGTATGAGTTATACATGACATTACAGTGATATTTTCAGCTGCTGTTACTGTAAACATGCAGAATCAATCTGAATTTGCAGATGCTTAGTGTGCCTGATGGAAAGAGTTTGCACAGTTTCACCCTAGCGCTATCATGCAAGTGAACACCAGGCCTTGCTAGATGACTATTCATGTTTTATTTCTGCAGATGGATTTTTGACACTAGGGTTCAGCTTCTCCCCCTTTCTTCCCCCTTCTGTGTATTGGTTTTCAGAACAACTTCTTTGCCAAAAAGTTATGGCAACTTTAGTTTACATTTCACAGTTTATAGGAATTTTGAAGTGTGTGCGCATGTATATATATTTAAATAATAATAGATTACTTTTTTTTTCTTGTTTTTAAAGGCAATGCTATGGGTTATGTGCGAATGATAAGATCTGGTGGACTTCACTGCTGTAGTAGTGCAATTAGGTACTTCCACAAATACTTTATTTTTCTGTTTGTGCTTTTTCTTTCCTTTGCTCCTCATTCTTGTTGATATTCCTTAGAAAAAGTCCGTTCTCCAAGTAAATGTATCATTTGAATAAAAAAGAGCAAGGGTTCATTTCTATGCCTTCATCTGAGTGTTAGTATCGAAAATATTTTCTGAGTTCAGAGGAGCTGTGCAATCATTGCTGTGAAATGCCAAGAATCAAATGAATTAGACAGTGAGACATGGAAAAGGAGTTAATAGAATGTGTACATAAGTCATTAATCTTAGTTCCTGAGGTTAATCACTCTAAGAGAGTCTAGGGGCATTAAGGAAAAATAGTACCTCAAATACTAGTACTTGAGGAACTTGCAAACAGAATTAACATTTGTGTGATACTTCTTTCCACTTAGATGATTATCTATGTTTATATAAGCATACAGGGTCGTTAAAATCTGAGGACCTTTGCATAGAAGGAAACGGTTGGTTTTCTACAAGTGATAATGAATTCAGAGTTATCACAGGCAGCAAATGCTTGAGAGAGTTGATGGTAGCCTAGGAAAAGCAGAAACACAAATAATGCAGCGTGTGTTTGGATTTAAAAGAAAGGGATGACAGATACGATATAACCTGGAAGTAGCTCAGGAGCCCAGAAGACAAGATATCTTATTGACTAAATTATAAATTACAATAGAATAGTGAATAAAAGCAATTGAACATAATCCTAACAAGCAGTAAGTTTTCAGGTTTGTTCCTGATCTGGAAGATATTGTTAATTTTGAAGAGCTAGTGAAAGAAGAAGGGCTCTCAGAAGAAACACAAAAAGCAGCAAGGTACCTTAACATCATGCTTTGAGGTCTGGGGCAGGAATGGGATAAGAGAATTGTAATTTTAAGGAAACACAACTGGCAGGGTTGCATTTTTTTGGATGTTAAAAAGTTCAATTTAATTTTATACAAAAAATATGTGTTGCTGTTTCAAGAGGGGGCAAAAATTTGAAACAATTGTTCTAAAAATGCTAAATGTGTTGTGGTACTTATACTAATTGACTTGTTATGGAACCTGGGTTCTTGATAAAATTCTTGTGACTTGAAGGCTAACAAACTTTTCTCACCAAATGTCTGACATCCACATTTTGGATTCTCAGGTCTTGCCTTTTTTATTTAAAAAAAAAAAAAAAAAAAAAGTACTCTATTCATAAACCCCTCTGTGGCATCCGTGAGGATTATGAGGAAGTTAAATCGGGCAGCCTGATCAAAGGTGGCTCTGTAGGCAAGGCGTAGTCTTGGATGCTCTGGTCAGAAAGCTGAATTGTAGATGTAGCTTAAGGGTGGAGAGAGGGTTATTACTCCAGAAGGGTGAGTAAACAAACTTCTAGCAGAAGAAGGTAACCCGTTGCTTATTCTTTGCAGGCAGTTGGACTCTGTCCTCAGTGATCTCACTCGTAACTTCGCAGAAGGAACAGAGTACTTCAAAATGCTTGTGGATGTATTTGCACCTGAATTCCGCAGTCCAAAGAATATGCATTTGCGCAACTTCTATATAATTGTTCCCCCGTTGGTTAGTATTTGCATTATGTGTACCAGCACATATTTTAAAAAATGTATCAGATCAGATTTGCTGTTAAATATTTTATATCAGGCTGATTAGCATATTCTACTTTTTCCTAATTATGAGCAGAATTGCTTTGAGCCTGGCTTTGTTAACAGTTTTCCAAAGCCTTTTTTTTTTTTAAACATCAACTCATACTAGCCGTCAAAAGCTAACTTTTAAGTATTTCTCCTCCTATTTCAATCAAATTGGAGAATTCAAGATTAAAAAAGGAGGAATTGAAACAGCAAGGATGAGGGGAGTTTAAAAACACTGTTCTTCAGCTGCCTTTCCTGTGTGTACTCTTTCAGCATCACAGTAGGTACCTTCAAGCTCTTTTAACGTCGTGTTCTAGAGCAATAAAATTGGGGCCCTTTCTCTTACAATTGGATCCGTTTTTGTTAACGGGTTATGTTTAAAAGGAGCCCCACTGAACTGAAGTGATACTCACCAGGGTGCAGGATTCGGGCCATTTGGAAGCAGGTCAGGTTGAAGACCTAAATGGTGTAAATAGACTCATGTACAACATCCCATTTTAGAAATTAATATATTAAGAAACTAATTTTGGAACATAGATAAGCCACAAACTAAGACTGTAAGAAAACAGGTGTATCATAGTAACAGAAGTGAGGGAAAGGAAATGCTTATGACAAATACTTTTCTTCCTTCCCGTTTGTGGAGTTCTCTTCTTGGTAAATACTGTTTCGGAAGATACCATCCATTTTATGCTAAAATGCATTTTGATGTATGTAAATTGGAAAGTGTGTCATAAGTTTTCAAGAAGTTGTTAAGGTACACTCATTTCCATGTCCCAAGAGTAGCTATTGCATACAGAGACACAACTGTTGCTTGAGACTACTGCATAGATCTATTGTTTAACATCACGGTAAGTGTAAGAAGGTTATTGAAATCTTTCACAACTTTCTAAATAGAGTGAAATAATACACTGTAACTTTAAAACACTAGGATCTCTGACTAAGCTTTCCAGGAACTTTGACTGTTTTAGTTATCCGGTGCTTTAGTTACAAGTTTACCTTTACTAATCCTCTGGGGAGTGCGAAGTAATAGTCAGACATGTACAGCAAAGACGAAGATGCACCTTATGTTTTTTACATATGCATATTAAAAATGTCTTCCAAAACTTAATTCACCTTCTTCCTCCAAAAATCTAGGAAAAGGATAGGCTTCTCATGCAAAAATGTCTTAATGATGGGGGACACAATTAGCATAGTTTTGGGGATGGAGTTATATTTATAGCTAACGGCATTCATATACCTTTTACATTTTTAAGTCTTTTATGATGGTTGAAAGACAATTGTTTTTCACTCTTTCAGACCCTCAATTTTGTAGAGCATTCAATCAGTTGCAAGGAGAAATTGAATAAGAAGAACAAAAGTGGAGCAGCTTTCACTGATGATGGATTTGCCATGGGTAAGTTTCAGCAAGCTGACTAGCCTTCCAGTAAGCCAATATAATGGATATTTGTAAGAGAAAGTTGTTGTATGGTTTGTGTGTACCCAGCTTCCCTAATTTAAATTTGGATTGTCTCAGTTTTCAGCACAGTGAAGTCAGCTTTTGTTTTGTACAGGAACTCTCAAGCATGGAGTAATTGAGTATTGCAGCAGACAGTTTTGTCATATGTTGTGCTCCCCTGTTTCCCTCCCCCGCCCCACCAAGACTTGCAGATCTGGGCAGATGAGAATATAGGCAAGTCTTTGCATAGGCCCCGGAAGTTGTGAGTTTTTTAAAAATTAAGGCATGCTCTTTAGTATTCTTTCTCTGATAGGCTTAATTGTAAGTTAATTGTAAATTAAAGTTTAATTGCGTGAAAGTTAAAAACTTAACTTGATCCCTTAAAGGCATCCACAGAACATTTGTTTCACAAATTGCATGTTGACTCTGGTAAATGATTTGTTAATGACCATAGGTGTGGCTTACATTCTGAAGCTTTTGGATCAGTACCAGGAATTTGATTCGCTGCACTGGTTCCAGTCTGTTAGAGAGAAATATGTGAAGGAAATAAGAGCAGTAACTAAACAACAGAATGTGCAGTCCACGAATCAAGATGAAAAACTGCTACAAACTATGAACCTGACCCACAAGCGACTGGAAGTTTGTTTACAGGTATAGCATGGTTCTAGTTGTGTCCCATATAGAGTTCTGCACTTACCCATCGCGGTTCAGGTAGCTGTTTTCTAAAGGAGCGTATCAAGAGCAAAAACAGAGCGTTTCCAAGAGCAACAAGAACAACAAGAGCATGAAGATTTGAGGTGTGTTATTTGCAGGATATGTCCTAAGTGTTTGTGATATTTGATGAGTGAGTCAGTAATCTGAGTTAGTTGATTGGCAGTCTTTGAATCTAGTACAATCAAAGCCTAAATGTTTAAATAGGAAAGAGTAACTTTTCAGTTATTTTTGTTATAACAAAGATTTTATATAGCACTGTGAAATCTGCAAAGCTACTTGGATATTAATTCCCTAAATTGCTAAGTTGAAATATATGCCAGCTATCAGAGGAAAGACAAACTACTTGAATTAATTCTGAAGCACAGCAGTTCTGGTTTCATCCAAGGCAAGTGCTTACTGTCTCTCTCTCTCGCCTTGCTTTTGACTTGAGGACGTTACAAGACAAATCTGTAGTTGTTTATGGTTATAAATAGGCCGTGATTACATTCTGTAAATGCTCATCTGTTGTTGAAATGGATAAAGCCCTGCAGGGCCTACATTATGGTGTCTGACTGTCTGCTGTTAGGAAAACCCCATTGCCGAACCTTATTCGGAGACGGACCAAGCTTTAATCGCTTAGATTATTGGCTTCCATAGTTTTCCATGGGCAAGTCATTCCAAATTCTCACTGCTGTTACAGTGAGAATTTTCATTTCCAGCCTCAGTGGATTAATCCCAGTTTTATTGCACTGATGCAGCTTTACTTATGTTACCCTTTAAAGTCGTTTTGGCTGACCTCTGTTTTGTAAAACGCATGTGTACGAGGTGTGAGGGGAGGAAGATTTTCAAAAGCATTCAAATGATTTAGCTACCGAAATCTTGCTGCATGAGATGCTTTTGAAAGATCCCGTTCCTATCTGTCTACAAATTCATTTTTGTGATACACTAACACTCCTGTTCTGTATCTTTTTACTTAGGAATTTGAACTGCTTTATTTCTCACTAAGTAGTGCAAGAATATTTTTCAGAGCAGATAAAACTGCAGCAGAAGAAAATCAGGAGAAGAGAGAAAAAGAAGGTGAGTGAGTGTTGACTGTAGAACACTTTTGTTCCTGAGAGGATGTGATCTAATAGGGAAAGCGCTCTTTCCTTTTTCTCCATAGCTACTTTCTTGCTAGTGGGTTGAATCAGCATTCCAGAAAAAGTTT